CATTTTCTAAATTGATTAGGCCTTAATTTAATATTTTCAAAAGAATCACCCACATTGTATTACATTAAGAAGAAACCTCTGACAAATAATAAGATGTTTATGTTCCACTAAAATGTTATTGATTTGTATGGAATGGCACTATTGAGGCGGAATTCTTGTTGATCCATGTGCGTCATCCACCCCAGGTCAGTTTACATCCCGCAGGAGGGGACTCAACAGTGTGTGGTCTGTGCTTGGCGTGCTATTGATTAAAAAGCCCCAATATAGTCAGTACTTAAAAAAAAAAAAAAAAAAAGGGATAATGGTGTTGTCCAGTTTTAAATTTAGTTCATTCACACCTAGGAACTGTCAAACTTGATATAAAATGTCAAGTGTTGTGTTTCTCACCATGCCTTTGGCTCAAGTGCCACTGTAGTGACCCTCTCTCTTGGTCCTCATCAACCCGTGTGTGTGCGTGTGCGTGTGTGTGTGTGTGTGTGGTTAGGAGTGTTTGTTTCCCCCAAGGTGCAGGACAAGCCATTACTGTAGGGTTAAGTGATATGCCAGTGTTAAGCTACAGTAAAACTTCAAAGCTAATTTTGACACACAATCTTTGAAATGTTGCTGTTTTTTTTTTTTTACTGATTATTTTTTATTTGTAAAATGCAATGTGAGCATAAGCTTGAGATCTGGGTCCAGGCCAAGAGAGATGCATCACTCTTTAGGTTTATGTTTTTTTTTGTTTTTTTTCAGCTCTTCCCACATGCTCCAGCAATATGATCACCCTCGTAAACACATGTATGTTAAACAGTCTCAAGCCTTTAAAAAAATTGTGAGGCATAGCTGCTCAAACAAATTTTATATTGATCATTGTAAACCCTGCGTGGTTGGCCTCATACACACTTGGACCAAACTTGAAAGAAAAAAAAAAAAAGTAGGTAACTTGCTTTCTGCAGTGATTGGAATTTTTTTTTTTTTGGACTATCTGAGACATATAATTCAAATGGGATAAGCTACAAGGTACCCCTGCATCTGTGTGTAGCATTTATGCATTTGTGTTATGCTTACCGTAATTTGGTGTTGACCTCAGCCTTTTTGTGTCACCCCCCCCACCCCCGCCACCCCCCCCCCCCCCCCCCCCCCCCCCCGTGTCTAATTCTCCACTACTACCACAGACCACTCTTCACGACCCCTCTCACACAAGCTACCTCCTGTGACCATACAGCTAACCACCAGGAGAGGTTGACCTGGACTTTGAAAAAGCTGGGCTGACAGCAGACATGGAAATGCACATCCAAAAGCGATCATATTGAATCTGTCTGAAATTGATTTAAAAAAAAAAAAAAAAAAAATTAAAAAGCGTTGAAAGGAATTGCCATTACTTGTGATGCGTAAGAATATTTATCACCTTTTTGATGACATCCCACTATCCAAACTGATACTGCTTGAATTTAGTAATACATTACTATTACTGTAACGACCCGCATATTACCAAACTGACACACAGAATCAACCATGACATGCCATTTGTTGTCCAAAACCAATAAAAGCACAGACCAAAGTACTCCTGCTTTGCCATAGTAGGCTTTGACACAGTGTGTATTGACAGACCAGAAATACGGTTCGACCTCCACTACAGCACTTAACCAAAGTGTCTGAAATACACACACTCAGAGCACAAGAGTGAAGAGCGCGCTCAATGAACCGGCTGAGTTTGAAATGTGTAGAATTCCTATTCAAGCAATCAAAGCGCTTGTTGTCTACATATTGAATAGTGCTTCTGTAAAAGAATAGAGGCATCTCCCTCGGGAAAGCCTACTGATTGCGTGTTCTTACAGTTACAAAGCCTTGCAGAGATAAAATGAATGCATGGTGGATGTGTGTGTTTGTGTGTGAATCGTGGTGTGTGTGTGTGTGTGTCTGTGTGTGTCTGTGTGTATGTTTTTGTAAAAAAAAAAAAAAAAAAAAAAAAAAAAACCTTTTTCTTTGTGTCTCTGTACGAACTACTTGAAACCTTCAGAGCTTTAATGAAACATCCCAGACAGACTATAGTGGAAGATCGATTCACAATATGTAGCAACAGCTTTGTGCAGTAAAATACCGTGTTTTGCGTATAATATCCACATCTAAACATTTTAATGACAGTTCCATTCAGCTCTTACATGCTTTGTATGTGCGTCCTTGTCTGCAAGTAAGCCCTCAGATAAACTAAACAAAGCCAAACCCAACAGACCACTTCTAAATGACCAAAATACAACCAAAAGCTACAACTTTCTTCTTTAGATTTCACTTTGGTTAGGGTTTTTGTCTTATATTCCAGCATCAGAGATGGTTCCATTGGACAGGATACAAGAGAACAAATCCATGTGCTGTTCAGCTGGGTGTAAGCTTCATTAAGTCATGAAACAAATGAGATTTGTGCCGAGGTGTCATATACTTTTCTCTGTGAAGATATTATAGATGGCAAACGCATAAGGGCTCTGCTGTTGTTACCATCCAAGGGTCTCCGAACACTTTACATCAACCACTTTTCTATTTGTTTAACTATGTACATGATATGGGCAAAACGCATGTTTAGAAAAGACAAATATTAGCAGGTTGGCATTTGTCTCTCCCTACCCGAACCAGTAACTCTACCAATGACGTTTCAAGGCTCATCTGGTGTGAAGGTGACACGTCCTTCCTGTGAAACAGGCACTGATGAATAGCTACAATAGAAAGCTAAAGTGGCAAACAAAAGCCATGGCTCAGGATGGTCTTGTTTTTACCTTTACATAAACTGAAAAAAAGGTTTATGGTTTTATATGTGTAGGGAAGCATTCTATACTGTATTGTGCAATACATTATTACAGAAAAAACATGTTTCTGTAGGAAAGGTTGGCGCTTTGAAGATCTTTCTCCTTTTGTTTTATTTCCCTCTTCAAAAAGTCCTGTTGCCGTTTTTAGATGAAGTAAACTGTGCCAGAAGAATTAAATTCTGATTTGTATTTATTTCTTGCATGCTTTCCTCCCTGTTGCTAATACCGCTCTTTAACTGTTCGCTCTGTTGGATGTGTGAAGCTGTAAAACATTCTAATTCAGGTTATTGTCTGTGTTGAACAATGTAACTGTGTAATTAAAACATAAAATTAAGTATTCATCACATTTGTTGCTTTTCTTCTTTAAATTCAGGAATATTCTGAGACGAAACGCCCAGAAAAGGAAAATTATCCATTGTTAACAAATCATTACCAACACAAAGTTCTTATGTAAACCTCAGACGTCATATGAGTGTTCACTAATTTCTTCAGAAATATGTCAAATAACATACTGAATATCTTTTTCAAAACATATTCCAACAGTCACATACACTTTGACAAAAACATTACTCATCATATACCACACAAACAAATCACAAATTCACTCCATGTCTTTGACCTCAAATTACTGTCGCAAGTATTTACACATTGGAAGATGGTAAACAACATACAGTATATCGATACACAGTGTATCTGAAACACACATCTGCTACTCAATCAATTGAATTTTAATTTGATCTGATTATATCTATTAAACGTTCTGGCCAAGCTCTATATCCTCATAAACCCTACGACCTGCCTGTGAGTCATTACAAGCTCATGTTGTGCAGCAAAACCTTGTTTACACTCACAGATTTTTTTTTATTCCAGTGGAGATCCACTAATGTGTAGCAATGAAATATGTAGGAAATATACAAAATGTCTTGAATATGTCCATTTGATGGAACGGTGGAACCATAAAATTGTAGTGGTTTTTGAGTGATAACTCACTGAGTATAAACATCATATAGCTTCAGTGACAACTTACAACAACTAAATATATGATGATGAAATGAGAGGGGAAAACGGGGTGGGTGAATAAACTTCACACAGTGATTAACTCTTTCCCTATTTTCCTCTGATTTAAAAATTTTCATTGACAAATTCCTACAGTCAAAACCTGCAATACTTCTCCTTACAAGTGTCTTGAATATGATATAATATGATATTCTATAAAAAAAGAATAGGTCTTTTTCACAGGCGCCAGTTTCTGTGTCCTGGTAGAAATACAATAGAAATAGTAATAGAAAGCCTTTACTGTCATTGCACTGTGCAAAATACAACAAAATTAGGAATGCTTAGGATAAAAACAATTAAAAAGAGATAGCTTCACACACGTTAACACAATCCTAATATAAATAGATAAATATAAGGTGTAGATGTAATTTTTCACAGTGCAAAATTGCACAGGAATGATGAAAGTTTCACATGTAGGATACCGTTTTTCATTTCACCTGATTGTGTTGTGGATGCTGGCTCTCTGTCACACTCATGGCTGACAGGGACATTTGAATAGAACAGAGCCATCATTAATGTTATTAGTAACACCTAATATGACAAACTCTGAAAAACTGATATATGGTCTTGTAGCAATCATTAAGGAGTGAGTAACAAGTTTATTTGATCAAATGACACTAATGATACTTTTAACTTAACTAAACTTAAACTAAACTGTGATTTTTTTTTGTTGTCAAATATTACCAAATGTATCAAATAAATTCGGTTCTATTTTGAAGAATTTGAACATTTACAGTGAAGGAATGTAGATGTTAACATTAATTATTATTGCTATGCTATTTAGTAGCATTTTACCAGCTCAATGATGCAGGTGGGGGTGCTACGGGCAAAAAGGGGGCAGCCAGGGACCCTCGTGCCGTAGATGCGGCACTGGGAGAAAGACACCCTCCTCCAGCGTCCCTCACGTGCGCTTCAACTGTCAATCAATCCAGCTCGTCATGGGTCTCGTTCACAGGTGATATCTATTAGCTTACCTCATATGCCGTCAGGTGTCGCGTCTGCGGACCATCACACCGTTGCCTTCCTGTGAGAGATAATATTTCGTGGCGGTTTTTTGGCAAGCTGCAGTCGCCTTTGCAGATGCCATGTTTGAGCAGTGAGCATGGCGGAAAATCATCTGGAGTACGGCTACCTGGAGGGCGAGTCCATCGGGGATCATTACACCGAGGACCCGGTGAGTATCATTCTGTCGGTGGAGAAGCTAAAAGGGTGCTGCAACGTTTGCTTGTTTGTTTGTTCGTTTCGTACGCACGTCAGGAGGGCGAGCGAGTGAGGATTGTCACGTTGGACAAACAATCGCCAACAATAAGCTACTTGCTATGTGGTATCGTTATATCACAAGATACACGTTATCAGCAACGAACGACATCAGTGAGCCACATCCTGTACGACATGCTGAATGACTTGTTCGGCATGGAGCCAATCAGGTGCATTGCATGTCCGCATTTCCAGCGTGAAATACTGAACTCCCTGTGTGATTTTAAATTTTATTGTGTGGTTTAGCGTCTGAAATTACAGATGGTAAAACCCCATTTCACTTATATTGCCCATAATTCTTAGGCCACCTCCATGTGAAACTAAATGACCATTATATGGCTGTACAATATGACAGATTATAGAATATTTTTGATTGAGTAACTCAATTTGAAGTTCTGTGGGGGCTATTGGTACATATTCACATTTGCATAAATAATATTGACAATAAGAGGAGTATCTGGCCAACTATGCTGGCCAAGTAGGCCATTGGGTGTTTCATTCAGATAGCAATAAGTTCATGACATTTTTTCAATGTAATGCAAACCGAAAAACAATAACACAAAATTCTAGATCACTATCGTAATAGTATCTAGTTTCAAGTCACAATGACTATACGGTAGCATTTGAGTGTATTACTTCAGTGTGGTCCACAGTGGCTTCAAGTGCTGGTTTCCGTTCTTGTGTCTCAGGAGCTGGCGGCCATCAAGGCCAGAGTTCAGGAGCTGGAGATGGAAGAAGAGACGGAAAGACTGAAGGAAGAGGAGGAGAGGTGCGACCTATCAGAGATGCAGCTACTGACCAGCAGTCCTCGGCCTGGTGAGACAGCCTGCAGGTCTTATCCACCTCATCGTTTGTCATCGTGTCACATTGGTGTACAGCTAAACACTGATTATGCATTTGGGAAGCCTCAGTAGTGTATTTTTAGCCAGGTGTGTAGCATCGCAGCCTCCAGGCAGGTGAGGTAACTGCATCCTTCACCATCTGGCTAACACCTGGGGCACTTCACTGTGGTCAAAACAGTGTTCGCATGTGCCTCATCACTGCCCAATGAGACGAAGCAGTGAGCCCCAGAGAAGCAGAAGGGTCCTCCTTGCTGCCTGTGGCTATTTTCTGCCTCTGTGCGTCTCCTCATCTCTTTCACCCTTCCCTTCCTCTCTTTTTGGTTCTTCCTCAGAACAGAAATGCAATCAGAGGGGAGATTACGTATTGTCAAAGATGATGTAAGAAATGGAAACGTTGGGTGAAAGTAATCGCTTTATTCATTTCACCTGGAGGGACCCCTGTGTAGACAGTGCATTCTATATATTGCATGTGAAAAAGCAGTATATACAGTGTTTTTGTTTCCCTCACAGGACCTTTCTACAATATGACTCCTGAGGAGAGGATAGACGCAGACAACAGATCAGTCTATGTAGGAAATGTAAGACTTTATCTTTTTCTTTGTGGTCATACTGAGCATATACTTTCACACCTCTGATCTGACACACTGACGAACAAATCCCAGGTAGACTATGGAGCTACTGCAGATGAGTTGGAGATCCATTTCAACGGCTGCGGGCCTGTCAACCGAGTTACCATCCTGTGTGACCGGTTTTCCGGCCATCCCAAGGGGTGGGTTCAACTTGTGCATAAATTTTATACTTTTCGCTGCTTGACACTATACAATAGATTATAAGTTTATTTGTTGTGATGGCCTCTTCTTTTCTTCTTTCACAGCTTTGCTTACATTGAGTTCTCTGATCGAGACTCTGTGCAGAGTGCCATTGGTTTGCATGAGACCTTGTTCAGAGGAAGAGTCCTTAAGGTGAGGAGCATCACACCTCATGTTAGTCTTGAAGAGTTAGCTAGTCACAACTGTCTACCGAATCGCTGTGACCTACAGCATCCTGAATACCACTCACACTAGACTTCAGAAGACATGGAGATAGACAGGTATAGATGTGTTTGAGTTGGTCAGGGCAAAGATGTTGGAGGGTGTGTTATTATACCTGAGATTTTGACTGGTGAAGCTCAAGTGATGCTCATATACAGCTTGCAATTTTGCATTTCCACATATCACGATTCTTCATTATCCTCTCCCTTTTTAATTGAGAAGTACCATTTGGTCCTTTAGACTGCAGATTACCTAACTCACTGTTTGGAATTAGAAACAAACGAGAGGTCATGTAATTTGACTTAATTTTCACTGTAGTAATGGTTATATTAGAGCAAACCAGTTAGAGCACACATTTTAATTTTACTCACTTGAGTTGGTCTCTTGGATGTGAACAAATTGCATTTGTCTTTCTGCATGAAAATGTTTTGGGTTTTGTTCCATTCCTGTTGAATAGCAAACATGGCATTTCTTTCAAATTCAAGTCAATCATCCTTAACAGCACAGTAACAAAAGTTTCCTTTCCGCTTGCAGGTAATGCCTAAGAGGACCAATATGCCAGGCATCAGCACCACAGACAGGGGAGGACACAGAGGAGGCCACTCCAGAGGAAGAGGCAGGGGGTACCGTCCCCCCAGATATCATAACAGCTCACGAGGCAGGTTCCGGTACCAGTCGACCAGGCCACAACATCAAACACCTCACCCTTACTATGGAGGCCCCTCAGTGGGGAAGAGACAGTGGGGACACATGGACTACCATGAGCAGATGCCTAAACGTTACCCATGTCTTCTTCTCATCACACCACCATCCGAGGAGTTGGGGGCAGGGTCAAGTGGACAGCACTACGCCCAACAGCGCTAGCACTAACCCACAGTGTACATTCCAAGTGGGTGAAAAGAAGCGATAATTTTAAGAAAAGTTTCCAGGCATTACCAAGTTGAGAATTAATGTGACAGGCACAGAATGGACAGCAGTGATGACTTTTTAAGTTGCACCCCTGCATCAGTTCTTCAGTTTGGTGAAGAGTGAAGACTGGGGTCAGCGGTGTTGCATTATAAGCTTATGTTGCTGTGAATGCATGGGACAATCCTCAAATTGTTATGCAGTTGCATCTCTTGATGTTTTTACAAACTGATGCGAATGTTTTGTGTCGCTGCCTGCAATGTAATGTATAAATCCTATGTATAACTTAAGTTCTTTGTTATGTAAGTGAATAAATAAAACAATGATCTGGAGCTGCGCTTGTACTAAAATGACACACAAAGTGATTTGGAACATCAATTAAGTTTTATTACAGCAATGCATCTCCATAATCAAGGCAACTTGTAAACAAAAAAAAAGACTGGGGGTATTATGTACAGTGGAGGCTCAGCACAAAGGGATGGAAGAGACGTCAGCCATTTTGCACCATCATTCCAGAAACTACTCCATCGAAGGCCCTGGAAAACCATCAGTAAACAGTTAAACACCGCTCAAAAGGAAAAATAAAGGTGATTAAAAATGTTTAAAATAACCCTTTCAGTATTATCAGATTTCACAAAAACTAAACTCACTTGGACTGAATGGAGTCCCCAGGATTGTGGAATGGGTTGCACATTACATCAGTAAAAGAGTTGTGCAATTTTCTGAACATCTGGGAAAGAATAAAATACAAGTCAGATACTGAATTACTCAAAAGGAGACTATACCAGAGTACAATTGTTTTCTATTGATGAGAAAAATGTTCATACAAGTGCATTAAACTGACAGTTTGTCAATTTACTACAGGGTGAAATGAATTGTATTGTGGTCAGAAGTTGTGTGTGTGTGCGCATATGTATGCTCATCCTAAATCCAGGATTCCTTAATATTTTGATTTATATGTTAATGGTAAGGATTTTGCACAAGAGCAGGATTACCAAGTTGCCAACATAACTGAAAATGTAGAAAAGCTCTTTGTCCATGCAAAAATCCATTTTTGATAACGTATCAATAAGATATTGGTTAATATACGGGCTAGGCTGTATAGTGTTCAATACAACACATAATATATTAGATAAACATCCTACACAAAGAGAACCAAGTTTGTAGATGTTACATTCTTTGCAAGATTATACTTATCGGGTTGATTTTGAATGTGTTTAGGTGCATGATGGGCTCAACTTACACTTCTTATTTCATTGTCCCGCAATGATGTATTTGATGAGTCCACAACAATGACAAATTTCACCTTGGAGTTTGTTACATACCCATATCTATTTCACCAGTCAAGGATTTTTTCTTTAGAAAATCATTTATGTCCAGGGATTCCACTTGTCACAATTACTGATTTTTCTATTTATAAATACATGATATAAAAATTAACATTCTTTTCACTTAATAAATCAACAAAATATGTAATGCGTCAAACTTCTGCATACAACTGTATAATGTTTTCAACATTTTTCTTGAATAATAGAGATGTGTATATTTACTTATGTCCCTTAGGTGTAATAAAGATGTGTAGCAATCTTGTTAAAAAGCTTTAGATCACAGTCTAACCTCAGTAAAAGAAAGATGATCTAATGAAAAGAAATGTCAAGCACTTGTATTGTGGGTTCCCCAACCTTGAACTAACTTGAAAAATGAACAAGTAACTACAAAAACAAAGGATACACTTTGTAGTCTTCAGTGGGATAGAGCAGACCCAGGTACAGCTCTCTCTGGTCTCCCAAGGATTTGCCCACTGCTGAGATCTTCTCCTCCACCACATCCAGAGAGGTGTGCACTGTGTAGTGGAACTTCAGCTCATTTTGAGTGGGCACACTGCGAATATACAGCGGGTAGTTCTGGGACAGGACATAACAGAGTACAGATACACAACAACGAGCCAGTTAAAACAACCACCTTTAAACCACTCACACAAAATCATCATAAAGCAGCAAATTCTAACATCAGCTTCCCCTCAAATAATGCTAACGTTGTTAGCTCTGTTGGTGCATTTCAGCCTGCTGAACCTTTTGTCATGCAAGGAAAGCTCGAATATTTGCTCAGACACGACAATAAGAACATGAGAAATACTTTAAACGTTGAAAAGGGATGTGTATAAAACCTGAAACATTTACAACAACAATCATTACCTCTTTTGCGATCACAGCTATGCACACCGCCATGTTAGTGTTCCTCCTCTGAGCTGTCAGATGCTGTCACGTGACACGCTGCATTCAGATGCTGTTGGAAAAGTTACAATATATATGTAAGTACCTGTTTTTTATATATTACAAAAAAGTATTTCAGCCGGATTATGCACTTATCTTATTTAAATTGTAAGTTTTTAATGTTATTTACCTACAGAATTTAGTTGCATGTTCAATATTTTTCTTCTCCCGAACAATTTCGAGTTTTATTTTGCATGTACAACATTTATCAGAAGTTCCTGAATGCACCAAATATCAAGGACCAATTTTAAGGTTATTTATTGTTAAACAATTTAATCCTAATGTATAACGCTACCACATTAATAGTTCAACGATATAAAAACAAATTAAACTAAAAGTGAATAAAAAATGTATTCAAGCAAACACCTCAAAATAATAACTCTAGTGTTTATGCGCAAGTGTTACGCTGAAGACCCGCACGAAGACAAACAAACCACTTCCTCGAAGTTGATGCTCATATGACTGCAGCAGATTCCTGCGAGTGATGTCTGCTCTAACTTTGACTCTCTTTAGTGCAATAATATGTTGTTCCTTGACAGAAAAGCCATCAACTGTATCATCTCCAAACATTATCATCTTGCTCATGGACGATGTGAGTTGTTTTATTTTATTTTTCACTGTGTCCTTGTGACTTTAGTTCATCACATCAGCAGCACAGCTCTTTGGCTCAGCAATGAGTGAATGACAAACAACAAAATATTTGTCTCTGTTTCTCCCTCTCTCTTTGTAACGTTATTTGTTTTCTCTTTGTCTCTGGGTTCTCACTAGTAATAGCTGTTGTTACTGTAAATCTCGTGGAGCACTAAGAGCTGCCTGTAATCTCTAACTGTGTGCTTGCATGTGTGTATATGTATTTGCTGGACTTGTTAATAAACCTGCCTCTGCTCTTCAGATGGGTTGGGGGGACTTGGGGGTGTTTGGCCAGCCCTCGAAAGAGACCCCCAACCTGGATGCCATGGCTGCTGAGGGGATGCTGCTTCCAAACTTCTACACTGCCAACCCCCTCTGTTCCCCATGTAAGTCAGCAACCTGACACAGCATTTCCTGTTTTGCAAGATGCATTTACTTCTATCTCTACTTTGTTTTAATTGCCACATCATTAACACTAACACAATTAATTGACCTACTGCAGAACAACATTTGCTAAAATAAAGCTTGCACGTTGCGTCATTCAAATACAACATGCAAAACAGAGTACAGGAAATTAGCACGAAATGCAAGAAGGTATTGCAACATTGGTGTTGAGCAAAAACCTTTAATCTCCATTTTGGTCATTGTCATATTTTAATCTTAGGCAATTTAAGTATAATACTGGATTCTTTTTGTTCATTATGCCAAAAAAACTTGCAAATAAACTGCAAAAATCTCTGTTGAGTTGAAACATGGAGGGACAGGTTTTCACCAGACAGCAGTGAGCTGAATACACTTGAGTTGAATCTATCCATTAATAGCATTTGATAAATAAATGTTATTGGTATTGGTAGTTACAGAAAACAAATGCTTAAAAAGCTGAAAGAATTTGATGTACACATCAAAACTGAGATGTATGCCAGAGCAATACTTATTTTAATTAACTACTACAATAAAGTATAAATGTGGAATTTATTACTTAACATAAGAATTTAACCAAATACAGTCCTGACTTGACAAATTAATTTGTAATCTCTGTGTGTCAGGATGAGGGCTGGAGCACATTTGACTGTTTTTGTTTGCCAGTTAAAGATAATTTAGAAAACCAACACAGAAATTCTAATGACTCTTTTCTAATGACTTTTTTTTCTGTCATTTTAACCACAGCCAGAGCTGCACTTCTCACCGGGAGGCTGCCTGTCAGAAACGGATTCTACACCACTAATGGCCACGCCAGAAATGGTACACTCTCAGTATATCTTTACTTATCCAGCAGCAAGTCATTTTGTTGCAGGTGTCTCATTACTTAGTCTAAAATGTGCAGTGTGCAGTAAAGTCATGGAAAGTTTTATACACTCAATTTTTTTTATAGCATACACACCACAGGAGATAGTGGGAGGAATCTCCAAGGATGAGATTTTGTTACCCCAGATGCTGAAGAAAAAGGGCTACGTCAGCAAGATAGTCGGCAAGTGGTGAGCTCTTTATCTTTACTCCAGGTTTTTCAAGGTTTCTAAAGGCTTAGAGGTTATGATCAGGGGTGGAAGAAGTATTCAGATAATTTACTTAGGTTTAAGCAGCTATCCCACACTATAAAGGTATGTCCCCTATCAGTGTTACTATTTTATGGTTGGTTCATTATTTCGACGCATTAATATGTAGTTTTGTAGTAGTTGTTGATTTACCTACTGTACTGAGGTGAAAAGAAACCAATGACAAAAATCCAAATAACTATGTGCTTTGTGCTTTTGAAAATATTGTGTTGTAGCACTAGTATAAATATGTAAAAACATGCAGTGTGATCCTTTAGTCACACTAATCTGACAGTGTGTGATTGCTCTTTGTTTGTCACCACAGGCATCTGGGCCACAGGCCACACCACCTTCCTCTGGAGAACGGTTTTGATGAATGGTTTGGTGCACCGAACTGCCACTTTGGCCCGTACAACAGCAGCATCAGACCCAACATCCCTGTCTACAACAATTCTGAGATGCTTGGCAGGTAATATCACACACAAGCAATCAAATACACACCAGCAGACACAGAAACAGAAGCTGAAAATCTATAAAAATCTTCTTTCCCCATGACTCAGTGGAATAGTTTGGCTGGCTGCTCCTCTGGATGAGTCGAGTGTCTCCCCTCCTCTTCCTTCTCTGTACCAGCTGTGCTTGTGTATTCCATTTTCCGCCCATTTGTTTTCCCCAAAACAGCCATATGTGTATTCAGGGTCATTGGAACTGGCAGCCGGGCGTGTTTTTCGCTTAGCCGTGGGTTTAATCAGCGCTGCATACCTGGGCCCTGGGCAGACACACACACACACACACACACACACACACACACACACACACACACACACACACACACACACACACAGACATGTATACACACATACACACTA